TTGGAGGGGCCCGCCCCCAGGCTACTAATAACAACAATAATAATGGTGGAGTTAGGCCTGGGTGCCGGGCAGTGGGCTAAACCCTCACGTTCTCTCATTTACTCCCGACAACCCTGTTATGGGGAGACCATTAACCCCACTTCGCAGATAAAATAAACTGAGTCGCGGAGGAACTGAGTGACTCCGCCGAGAGGTCAGGGGTTGACCTGAGCCTGACTAAACCACTTCCCTCTACCTTGCTTCCCCTCCCAGGAGGCCCCAGGCTCCCTCACGGGGCAGACAGCCCCTTTCCCCGGCCCTCTCAGGGGTTGCCACCACCCCTAGACCTGCAACCCGCCTGGCCCCTCCTCCCAGGACGCAGGTCAGAGCGTGTCCTGCTGGCCGAGCTCTGGTCTGGTCACGCAGGGTTAATGATTGCTGAACCCGGGCTTTGAGCCAGGTGGGGCCAGCCTCCTAGACCCCAGCGGGGCCCCTGCGCGTGCATGCAAGCTCCTGTGCGCCTCTGCACCCGGCGGCGGCTTGTGGCGGTGCCCTTTGGCTAAGACCGCCCGTGCACACACACGCACGTCCACCTGGGCCTGTGCATGCGATGCGCTGTGTGATCCTGCGTGTGGCCGGACTTCCAGTCCCATGCCCTCCCCCCACCCCCGCACCCCGGCAGCAGAGGCCTCCCCTCCTTGTGCGAGACCTGGGGTGAGGGGGAGGCCTTCTTGGCGGGAGCCTCAGAGAGGAGGAGGGAAGGAAGGGGGAGAGGAAATTGCAGACATAGCTGAAGGCGCTGCCTGAGGCCCGTGGGCCCGCGACCCCCTCCCTGTCCAGGCTGGAGACCCCCACTCCGTCAGCCCCGAGACCGGGTTCAAGTAGAGGGCAGAGCTAGATGGGGAAGGGACCAGGACTGACTCCCCTGGGGATGGGAAGGGGCCTTCTGGGTGTCTTTGTGACTGTTGAGTCTGTGAGTGCATGAGGAGGTATTTTTGCTCCTATCTGTATATTTGTCTATTTTTATGCTGTGTCCGCTTGAGTATCTTAGTGGGGGTGGGTATGTCTGTGTATAAACCTACCTTACTCAACAAATACTGTGTGTGTGCACCTAGCACCTCCTAGTACAGTCTGTGTCTGTGGATTTAACTCAGCCTTGGATCAAAATACTTTTTTTTTAAGTGTATCTGGGGCAGGCACAGTGGGTCACGCCTGTAATCCCAGCACTTTGGGAGAGGATTGTGTGAGCTCTGGAGTTCAAGACCAGCCTGGGCACCTTGTCTGTACAAAAAAATAAAAATAAATTAACCAGGCGTGGTGGCACATGACTGTAGTGCCAGCAAATTGGGAAACTGAGGCAAAGGATCTCCTGAGCCCAGGAGGGTGAGGCTGTGAACTGTGAACTGTGATCATGCCACTTCACTCCAGCCTGGGAAACAGAGTGAGAACCTGACTCAAAAAAAAAAAAAAGCATTTCAGCATTTCTACTGAACATGTAGACTTTTTTCATGTCATTATTTCTACACAATACAGTATAACAGCTATTTGCACAGCAGTTACATTATATTGGGTATTCTCAGTCATCTCGATGATTCGAAGTATACGGGAGGATGTGTGTAGGTTGTATGCAAATACTATACCACTTTATATTAGGGACTTGAGCATCCTTGGGTTTTCATATCCGCAGGAGATCCTGGATCGGTCCCCCAGGATGCTGAGGGACAACTGTAATGGGAATTTAGCAAAATACCGACACAAACCCTTGCCTCATGAAGCTGACACTAAGCTGGAGAAATGATAGAAGATACTCTGAGCTACTGCTAAGTGCTGGGATAAGGCGACAGCACCTGGAGGTGGCTCTCCCAGGAACACCTGGGACGATCTGGAGACAGTGTCCAGGCAGGATCCAGGGCAAAGGGCCTGGGCTAGGAATGTGCTTGGGGTACCTTGCTCCTGGGGTAGAAAGTCAGTGTGGCTGGTGTGCAGGTGCTGGGGAGAGTGATGAGGTGGGGAAGTGCCATGGCTGATAATTCACTTTGGAAAGATCCCTGTGGTAGCGCAGTGTAGGATGGGCCCCAGCGGATAGACAAGGCAGGGAGGACAGGGAGCAGGCTGGCAGCCATCCAGGCCCGCGAGGGCCAGGGCTTGGACTGGGAGGGCCTCTGGAGGAGGTGAGAAGGGATGCAGGTGTGTTCTGAAGGGAGCTCCTGCACTGGGCGTGGAGGAGAGGGAAACGCCTTAGTATTGACCAGAGCATCCAAAGAAGGCCTGTGTGGGGAGACTGGTCTGGGGGAGTCAGAGTTTCACTTTTGGCAGATTGGATTTGAGATGTCCATGAGCCATCCAGGTGCAGGTGTCGGGAATACACCCAGCCCAGGAAGTCTGCTAGACATGGTATTTGAGAGTCCTTACCACAGAAGAGGGACTTAACATCCCCGGAGTGAGTGAGATCACCTGGGGTAGGGGACAAGGGAGTAGAGGAGAGTCTGAAGCCCGAGCATGGACACCTGACATGGAGGGGTCTCCTGAAGGTGGAGTCGCCAAGGAGAGACCAGGGAGATGGGAGGGAAACCCTGATCAGCCACGGTCAACCAGCTGAGTCTGCCCCGTGCCTTGGGCAAGATTGTGACACCCTCTGTGATCCTGGTCAATGTCTGTGGGTCGTGTCCCTGTCTCCTCAAGGTGTGTGTGTGTCTGTTTATGTGATAGTCTGTTTATGTGCCGTATTGCAGGAGTGCACTGACATGCTTAAAGTCTTCTACCCGTGTGGATGCTGCATGTGGCGCAGCTGTGCCTGTGCGATCGGTCACGTGGAGGGGTATGTGCCTCTGCGTGGCACATACCTCCGTCTCCATGGGTCTCCGTCTCCATGGGTCTCCGTCTCCATGGGTCTCCGTCTCCATGGGTCTCCGTCGGCACATGGGTCTCTGTGTGTGGTCTAAGATTGTGGGTGTGTTTCTTCCAACCTGTTTCTGTGCATGCAGATCTCTGGGCAGCTCTACCTGAAGACAAAGGTGTGTCTGCACCTGGGTTGCTATGGGACATGTGTGTTTGGACTGGGTCAGGTGTGACTCAGCCCCGGTGAAGCAGGTGGCCTTTTGGGAGCAGGGTGAGTGTTGAGATGATTGTTGGTCCCTTCAGAGAGAGGGGCGCACAGTCCCCTGAGTGCTTGCTTCTCAGGGGATTGCATGTGGCCAGGCCAGGCCAGGTGGGTGAAGTGGCAGCTTTGCCCTGAAGGGTTCTAAGAAGCCAAGGCCATTCCTGGAGACCTCAGGAAGGGTCCTGAGGCCTTTGGCCGGTGTGGCCATCCCCACAGTCCACATGCCCTCCTGGTCACCGTCCTGTCTGCATCCCTGCCTGCCTCTCCCAGCCCTGTGTGTAGGTCTGCCCAGCCACCTGCTTCACCAGGGATCACTCAACACATCACACCTATCCACCTGCCTGTCTTCTCCCTGCCTGTCTGCATAGGACTTATCTACTGCCTGTCCACCTGCCTGCTTGTTGGCCACCTCTCCTCTGTGCCTTCCTGTCTGTAACCCTAAGAATTTTTTTTTTTTGAGTTGGAGTCTCACTCTGTCACCCAGACTGGAGTGCAGTGACTGCTCCCGGCCACCGCAGCTTCAACTTGCTGGGCTCCGGCAATCCTTCTGCCTCAGTCTTCCAAGTAGCTGGAACTACAGGTGCGCGCTACCGCATCTGGCTAATTTTTTATTTATTTATTTATTGTAGAGATGAGGTCTTGCCAAGTTGCCCAGGCGGGTCTCAAACCCACGGGCTCAGGCAGTTCGTTCACCTCGGCCTCCCAAAGCACGGGATTACAGACTGAGCCACCGAGCCCGGCCTACACTAAGAATTTTTCACCTTGGAAGGCACAGAGAGTAATCCTAAAGTGACACACAGGAAAGACAGGTCTTAGTGGGGGTCAGGGGCTGAGCAATCCAAAACCTCTGGGAGGGGCCTTAGGGTTGCTG